TGAACTATGTATAGCGAGACCGACGATCGAATCTCGGCAAGTAAAATATCATGAGACAAAGGGAATTGTATACGGGATTATCTGAATCCTTGACATCGTGGTTCAGACCAATAAAGATCTGCGTTGAATATGTGGGAGTAATTATGGCATCTAGATCCTGCTATTGATTATTGATCGGAGACGTGTCTCGGTCATTTCTACATGTCCTCGAACCCGTAGGGTCACGCATTTAACGCTCGGTAACGGTAGACTAGTATTGGGATATTCATAATGATGAGTCCAAAGGTAGTACTCTCTTCGTTTTTATTTACTCTGCATATTAGAGTTGACAGAAGTCAAACTTTATAAAGTTTGACCAAATTTATAGAAAAGAATATAAATGTTTAGCATAACAAATCTATATGATGTGGAAGTACATTCAACAACAAATCTAATGGTATTGATTTGTTATTGTATATGTTAATATTTTTGTTTATAAACTTTTTCAAAGTTTGTAAAGCTTGACTTTGATCAAAACTAATATGCAGAATAAATAAAAGCGGAGGAAGTAGTTCGGAGTCTCGGATTTCTTTGCGACTAGTTAGTTTTTATGTTTCCTGGAGCACTGGTACCTTTGCTGTCATTCGCGCCCTGACAAGCCGAATCTCCTGTTTTACCCTGATTTATTATGTAAAGAAATGCTATGCATTTTGCATACTCTTGGAGAACGAATTGCTTTTTTTGGGTCCCAAACTTTATTAAAATTGAACAATATTCAACGGGATACAAAGATGGTCATGAGGGAAAACAAATTGCTGGGTGTGCATGTACGCATGAGGGAAAACAAATCGTAACTGAGATCGTTTTACACTGACTGACACTTACATGTGATTATGTAGATTATCCGCCCACATCATGCATGTACGCATGTAGTTTTATTCAGCTACTCAGCCGTGAAGACTCGATTTTCCATGCATGTCTCAGTCGAGATCCGACCAGGTGACGGGCAACTCGCCTATGCCGACGTCGACGCCGAGGGCCTTCCACACGGCGGCCGACGTGCTGATCTCGTGCTCGCCGCAGCCCTGCTCGATGTCGCACTCCTCCACGACCATGGCCTCCACGGCGACCCCGCGCGTGGTCACGATGCGGATCATCTTGCCGCACCGGATGCCCCCGCCGTACCACGCCGAGGTCAGCGACGCCAGGAGGAGGTCGTTGCTGTGGGACTTGCCGTCGCACGCCGCTGGCCCGCTGTGGAAGTCGGTCAGCGACATCACCGCCGGGGCGTCGTGGACGCGCTCACCGGAGTCCTTGACCTGGACGTGGCGGCCGGCGGCGCACGACACCTGCAGGAGAACAAGGACGCCGAAGATCGCCGCGACCTTGGTGGTGTTCGCCATGGCAATTGAGCTAGCTCCTGCTTAATTGCGTTTGTAAGCTTTGCCCTAGGTGCTTTGTCTCAGTGCTCTTGGTTGGAGGAGCTTATGTAGGATGGTGGCGCAGCCTGCTGACAAAGAGAGGGACGTATTTACTCATGCTGAGTTGCTGACCTCGGGCGTCTCGTCAGAGAACAGCTCGTGGAAGCCTGTCTGCAGACAAAATAAGGAAAGAGATGCTATAATTGCATCGATGAGATCGAGTGTTTTTGGATTTCATGGCGCTACAGCAACATGTGTGCCAGATTTGAACACGGATTGGCGGATTGCTCTGTCTCTGTGTTCGTCCACCGATGGAATGAGAGAGTCACCTTTTTTGTTAAATGGACAGAGAATCAGTCGCCGGTGTTTGCGAGGGGCGAGTCTTTTGTCTCCCCTGCAGCGAGATGAAAGAACCTCTCGCCTCTAGAATATTATACTTCAATTTGAAAAAAAACGATTATGACGCATCTAAAAATTGCTCATGCAGTGTAAAAAAAGTTTGCGTGACTTTTAGAAAATGTTTGGAGCATTCAAAAAATATTGACATTTAAAAAATTGTTCATGCGTACCAAAATATGAATGTGACATTTAAAAAAAATATTAATATGATATAAATAAATGTTTCTGTAATTTAGATAAAATTTAAAAAACAAAACTGTGATATTCAGAAAATATGTTCAAGCGTTTTCAAAGATATATTCCTTGCATTTAAGAAAATATAAATATACAAAAATGTTTGTGTAATTTTAAGAAATGTTCCGTACTATTCAATAAATAATCTTGACAACTTAAAGAAATGGTCGCCCATTTGAAAAATGTGCTCATGACATATTCTTAATTGCTATACGTTGTAAAAAAAATCACTAATTTGATGAAAATGTAGCATTCATAAATATGTTGAACATGTATTTGTAAGTGTTTAACATTTACATTAAAAAATGAAAATATGTATTTGGACAAACGTTCATCACATATTTGAAAAAATGTTCACCGTGCACCAAAAACATGTTACACACGTATACGGAAAATGTACAACGTGTATTGGAAAAATTGGGCATGTATTTTTAGAAAAAATCCAAGGAAACCCCCACATAGAAACAAAGAAGGAAAATCCGCATGGAAGATTTTAAAACCGGTTCGAACCGGCCCCAAGAACCTTGGCAACACTGGTGCGGGTAGCTACAGTGTTTGGCAGGCCGTCAGCGAGTTATGTCTCGCAACAAGCTAGGCAAGGATGCATTTCTTCCGTTGGGCCCCATTGGCGGAGGGCGAAGAATAATGCGCATCTGGTTTTCTCCTGGCCCTGTATTAGTGCAGAGAAGAGATAATTCGCCTGTGATTTAATGATTTGCCGGAGAGATTTGTTCTTTCTCAAAGAGTGATTTCCAATGTATCAATCGAACCCAAGGTGATTTATTACAGCCGAGACTGTTTCCCGTCTGGGCGACGGCCACCCCATGCAAACGCGTCAGGCAACGGGCCCACGGGCGCTCCTGCCCATCCGGGCCCACGTGCCGCCAACGGGCCGATCGCCCGCCCGCACCCACCGGCCCCCTGTCTCAATCTCTCTCTCTCTCTCTACCCTCCTATGGATTCCATCATTTCAGTCCCGATTCTCCAGATTTTTACTGCCCCGCTCCCCCTCTCCCCCCTCCCGGTCTGCCCAAATCGCCTAGGGTTTCGCCCCCTCGATCCCCGCGCGCCACCGCGGCTCCGGCCGACTCCTCCCCGCCGCCGCACCGCGTGCCGATTGCATTCCCCTCCCCGCGGTGCGGCCGCCACCGCGAGGGAGCGAGCGCGGGGATCGGCCGCTCCCTCCCTCCCTCCCCGCCGGCTCCAACTCGATCTCTTACCCGGACCGGACCGCCGGGGGCGCAGCGTCGGCAGTAGGTGAGCAGTCGGTTTCTTCCGTTTTGATGGCAGATTGGGGGTCCCGGTTAGTCTCAGATTCGTTCGCCCCGCGCCGGTGTGCATCGGTCCCGCGATTAGCATCCCCCCCAGTGTGGTCTCTCAGCGGAGGCATCCTTATTGAGTGTAACGAGAGGGAGATTCGAGTGTCTAGTTCCTTTATAGGTAGAGAAAAGGGGCAGGTCTGTGATTTGTGCTTGTAATGTTCAGTTGGGGCCCTGTTACCACACCGGCCCCTGGATAGACTGAACCTGCAGTGGTGAGCATGTGTGTGCCCTGTGATCACGCCGGCTACCCGATGGACTGAAGCTGCAGCGGCGGCCGGTGAGTGTGTGTTTGAGCATGTTTGCGCGTGTCTAGTGTGCGCAGGAGTACTTGCCAGCATGCCTGTGTTAGAGTACGTTGCCGGGGCGAGGGGGTACAAGTTGAAATGTGGAGCATGAATGGCCATTTTTATCCAGTTTATTATCAAGTTTGTAATAAATTAGCACACTGGCAAGTAGCACATTGCCACGTTAGCGAATCGACAGAAGCGCAGTAGCATCGGACAAGGAACGCACCCTAATTAATACCGAATCGCCAATTATATGGTCTGGTCTAACTGGTTTCCTCACCCTGCAAACATTTATGTGTAACAATACCTTTATTTAGACAAAAACAATTGACCCCTCGGGAGAGACAACCCAAATGCATAGCATTTTAAGGTCGAGAAAAAAGCCTGTACCTGCCGCTACATCGCGAGTGTGCACACTAAGTGTGGGGACTTTCTTATCCCTGATTACCAGGGTTCGACCCATGGTCGGTAGCCCCACTCCTGGAGTTCTTACCACCGCGTTAGACAAAAGGTATATGACCAGCTTTATGTAGGAATAATACTTGTCGCTTGCAGGTGTTAATGGATGCACCATTAATTTGTACTCCCTCCGTAAACTAATATAAGAGCGTTTAGATCACTAGTAGTGATCTAAACGCTCTTATATTAGTTTACAGAGGGAGTAGCATTGTTCAATTACTAGTTCAGCACTCGCGTTACATGTGAGTGTGCTCACAGTTTGCACACAATGAGGGCGCATAAATATATTATTTATAGTAGTGAATGTTCCTTCTGTTGTTTAAAGGTCAAAGCGAGTAACAGTGCATAAATTAGTCAGCTGGAATGACTCCTTTAGACTCGCAATAAAGTGTTTTGTTCAAAATACCAAATTTGCAATTCTAACTAAATCGCAATATTGCATTGGATTCATTATTTGTACTGGCTTTCAAAAATACCTTAGCCGCGTGAGTAAAAAAAATTTTAAATGCATTACTCATACATCAGTATGGATTGGTATCACTAAGCTAAGCGGTTATTCACTTATTTCATATTGGACGTCATACTTGTAAGATGTATGTACACCCCTTGCGATGATAATTGTTGTATTAAAGTCATGTACTAATGGTGTATTACAGTTTCTCCATAAATAACATATTACAAGTGTTGATTTCCTATGTTACAGATAAGTCTACTGAGTTGTTATATCATATTGATTCAGTCATATCTAATCTCCTAAATGTTGTTGCCTTATAGGATGATCACACTGTTTGCACAGAGCTGAATCTTTGTGACCATTAGAGTGCTATTTTGGAACAAGAAAACTTCTAAGTGAAGCTGCACAGAGAGAACCTTTAGAGTTGTCTGCTGTTATTGCTTCCATGGTGAGTGGCTGAAAGACTTGATGGAAATGCTTTCTCCTTTTCTGTTTCTAATGGTGTGTATTTTGGAAGGCAACAAATGAGAACCTCCCACCAAATGTCATCAGGCAATTGGCTAAAGAACTGAAGAATCTTGATGAATCACCTCCGGAAGGGATTAAAGTTATTGTTAATGATGATGACTTCAGCACCATTTTTGCTGATATTGAGGGCCCTGGTAAGATCCAGAAATATACTTTGGTTTTCAGCTGCTATTTATTTGTCATCCACATTGCCCGTGCTGCCATGCTGGCCATGCTATTGTACCAGCTTTGCATATAATGGTGTTTTTTTTAGTATTCATGGATTTCTGACATATTGTTTATTTAGAAGTTGAGCATCGATGAATCTTGTTCTTTCTGACAATGCATTTTGTAAAATCTCACGTGTTTGAAGTTTCTTTCTTTTCTCTTTCTTATTGTACTACTTTAACCTCATGTTCTAAAAATCATATCTGGACATGATGCAGCTGGAACTCCATATGAGAATGGAGTATTCCGGATGAAGCTATTGTTGTCTCGTGACTTCCCTCACTCTCCCCCAAAAGGTAGTTATCTTCTGGAACTTCCAGAACTGTCTGTACTTTAGTTATTTCTTTAAATAAAGCCTCTGACTGAAAATCTGCATTCTTCTATACTTCAGCTATTTCTTTAAATGAAACTTCTAACTAAAAGTCTGCATTCTCCTTTTATCTGCAGGGTTCTTCTCGACAAAAATATTCCATCCAAACATAGCAACTAGTGGCGAGATATGTGTGAACACGCTGAAAAAGGATTGGAACCCTAGTCTTGGGTTGAGACATGTTCTGCTGGTAAGCTAAAGCTGCCGCACAATTCGCCATTCTTCTGTTGAGAGCAATGCATGATCTCTTTGTAAGAGATTACTGAATTTAGATTTAGAAGGACTGCATGATAGCTATGGCCTGGGAATAAAGTTCCGTCTGCTCTCTCACAACATGCGGGAGACTAACTATGAGCTCCTTTTGTCATGTGCCACAGGTAGTGAGATGCCTTCTGATCGAACCATTCCCCGAATCTGCCCTTAATGAACAAGCTGGAAAGATGTTGCTTGAAAACTACGAGGAGTATGCACGCCTTGCAAGGTCAACCTTTGACTATGCATTTTTCAACCCTAGTGCGATGCTCGCAGATCTTTTTCTTACGGAGCAATTTTGGCACATGGTCATGAATCTCATGGCTGCCATTTCTGTCAGATCAGATCGCAGGTGATACTGTGGTTTCGCCTAGAGCTCTGACCTAGGCAACTGATGATTTCATATTGCTCCGTATGCAGGCTATACACCGGCATTCATGCACATAAACATAAGAACAAGTCCAAGAGCGGAGCCATTTGCGAGTCAACCACAACTCTAAACGTTGGCCAGAGCAACAACACCGTTCCGAGCAAGAACATACCATCGGCGCCAGCACTAGTATCCACCTCCACCTCGACCAAAGTTCTCGGCATACAGGATCAGAACGCAGCTCCTTCTGATCCTGCTGTAGGGCCATCAACGGCAAACAAGAAGGACGGGCCGCTTGCCACCAAAATCCCAGCCGAGAAGAGGAAGATGGATGCCAGGAAGAAGAGCCTGAAGAGGCTGTAACAGCGCACCCCGCCGGGATAGCGTCGAAGTGTGGCTGTTGTAGTAGTTAGGAGATTCAATCCCCTACCCTTGATAAGCGACGCCAGATTCAGCAGGTGCACAGTGGAACCGAATGAATAAATAAACCCAAGGGACATCTGATGAATCTGGTGGTTGATTGGTAGAAGTATGCCTGTAGTCAGAACTGTAGTGATGTGAGATGAGATGCATGTGAGTTGCACCCCTGTTGGAATAAACTCTAGTGATGTGCAATGACGAACTATTTGGAAGAACAAACTGTCGCCTTTTCCACTGATTCTGCACTAAGTTTTGTCTTGTGATATGTTTAGACTGTTTAGTGACACAGAAGCTCCTTGAAAGCGAGCTTAGTGCTAAAGTGAAAAAGGGGATGATATTCATTCACCCTGAACCAATGGGCAGCCGGCACTAGCGATGGTGTTGTAGGGTGTAGTAGCATCTGATGGAGTGTAACAAACAACAACCTGATAAAGGCGTGCTCTTGAGTGCACACCACCATGATTATCTTTCAGCTACCACGGAATCTTCCCCTTTGTGGATCATGTAGGGCTGCCTTCTAGATTGGAAACCATCATATATATAATCTAAAAAAAATGAAGAAGGAAATTTATCATCAAGTTTCATGGCATGATCCGGTTCCTGTGCCGACCACCTCCCCTCCAATCTTGAGCCAAGCATACATTTTTGTGAAATTCCGCCGTTCACATCAAGCAGGTGAGGGTCAGCCCCCTCTTTTTGTAGCCTCTGCTCAAGCTCCAGCCCCTGTCGGGCTTCTTTTCAAGATATGATGTGGGTTAAAATTGGCGATGGGTAATCATGTGGCAAGCAAGTACGTACGACCGATCATCGACCTTCCGGATGAGACGAGACGGGAGGAGGAGTCGTCACCGCGAATCCCAACTTCCCAGGCTTTACGGGGGTGGAGTTGCGGGTGCCCATCATGACGACGACGGTCCACCCAAACCCAAAGGTGTCGTGCGTGGCCCAAAGAGGATTCGCGGGGGCTTTCGCAGGCAACTGCCTGCGTGCCTGCGGCGAGCACCGGGCTTTTCATCCTCCCGTGTGCCTTTCTTTGGTCCGGCCTCCCCTTTTGGTTTCTCTACGTTTGGTTACTTACTTTGACTGGCCGGTAAAAGAAAGAAGCATCAAGCAGATCCATTTCAAGCGGTGGCGTGGACGGTGGCCGCTGTCGGGCGTGGAGAATTCGTGCTTGGCCGGTGAAGAACAAGTCCGGTGACGCCCTCGCCTTTTGCCCAGGATCGCAAGCCTCGCAGACGCCATCATCGTCGTCGTCGGCGGCGGCGGCACAGTCAGCAGCGGCAGTGATCCCTGCCCTCGACTCGTCTCTGGCTTATCCGAACGTGCAGTGCAGTGCAGATAAGATATGGGATGTCCCGAGCGCTCGTGGAGAGAGTCCAAACGGGCTGTGTGTACCAACCGGGGAAGAAGGAAAAGAGGGGCAAGCGCACACACAATCTCGCACGGACAGCAGATTTTCACCGCTACTGTACATCTACAATAATCTACTACTCCCATGCAGCATGATTGTGCTATTGTATTGCCGTGCAGGACTCGTTCTGCAGTGTTAATACTATAATCGATCTGACGTCGGAGGCAGGGTGGTGAGATTTGGCAAGCTTCGTCATTTCGGCCGATATTAAACAATGGAGCCAAGTAGGGGCCTTGCCGATCGATCAATCTATATTTACCCAAGGGGAGGGGGACAAGTGGCCGAGCACGTACAGTTTTCAGTCACATGGATGAGCTGAGCTCAGACTTGATCCTCCTCTGCCTGTATGGGATCATCTACGCGGCGGCTATGCCCATGCCATGCTCGGATCCAACAACAATGGAGCCGATACATAATAAATCAGCTGTTCCCCCACGAATAAATATACAGGTCCTAAAAGTTCTTTCTATACAATATACAATATATTTGCTGGCTGGCTGTGAGTGGTCGCATTATTTGAAATAGAGCCGCTGCTTTGGCTACCTAGATTGGTGCACAAAGCAACTAGCAAAACACTGCTTTGCTGCTGTGCCACGAGCGAAGCAATACGATCTCTCCATGTTTGAAACCCCAAAATTTTCTTGGATGCCTAGAATTCGTTTGGAAAGTACTGATAAAGTGCCTGCCTTCTAAGTAAGTGCATCCGAGTCAGAGGCGTGGTATGTATGCGCTATGATAGCTTCTAGTGTACCACGTGAGTCAATCTGTGATTGGATGGTTAGAACATCTACAGCCAGCATCTCCACATTGCTTTGTGCCGCTCCCGTCTAGATCAGGGCGGCAGCAGCGGAGGCAGCCCACGGAAGAACGCAAAGCTCCCCGGCTCGCTATCGAGCTGTTGGAGCGCGAGGCATCGGCGAAGGCAATGAGGCACGTCGAGGAGCGGGAACGCTTGCTCAGAAGGCCTGCCGAGGGTCACATGGAGCTCTCCGACGACGGCTCAAAAGCTCCGACATTGACGATGACGACTCTCCGGCGGACGACGCCTACACCAAAGGCCAAAGCAGCACCACCGACCGCAAGGGGAAGGGGGCAGCGAGGAAATGGTGATTTCCTCCGCCCTTCCCTGTTGAATTAAGTATTTTTTATCGTATGTTTAGGGTACTGTCCGATTGAAACTGCATGTTTTGGTTATCCGATGATCGTTTGTGCTACAATTATGCATGTTTTAACTAGATTTCGTGCTAGTTTGTTGATCTACATAGGTTTGTTTTCACGCGTGCATGTGTTGCATGGATATGAGGGGCCGAATTCGAGATACGCAGGTGCGGACGGACCTAAATGAGGAGTGCCCGTTCAGTGCCGGGCGCGTCCGCGGGCGTTTGAGGGGCCGGATATTTCAAGTACGACTGTACTCCCTCCGGTCCTTTTTACTCTGCATATTAGAATTTTCTGAAGTCAAACTTCACAAAGTTTGACCATATTTATATAAAAAAATATCAACATCTGCCATGCTAAAGTTATACAATATGAAACCTTAAGTCATGACACATCTATTGGTATTGATTTCAGATTGTGAATGTTGGTACTTTTTTCTATAAAGTTGGTCATTTACGAGGTTTGACTTCAGTCAAACCTTATATGCGAATTAAAAAGGACCAGATGGAGTAGATGCTCTTAGGAGGACAGTGATATCCTCAGCCCATCAGGATTTAGTTTCTAGACTTGACGCTGGTGCTCGCATTTTTCTTAATCTATTTCAGGCCTTTCGCGCGATGTGCGTTCAGTGAGAGAAGACGCTCCTATCCATTGAGAAAAGACGTTTGTGGCGACTTCGACAATCTCAAAATGGTATGGCGGCTTAAACTCTCAATGCGTGTCCGCGCGTGCTAGTGTGTCACACTTGAACACCTACCACCTAGGGAAATCATGCATCCACAGTACACTCGCACCGGTTTCCTCTTCATTAGTTGTACCTCAGCGGATCCTAACTCCATCCCGCCGGTACCAATCGAAACTAATGACCAAATCTACGATCGCATGGACGGGACAAATGTTGTACGTGCATGCACGTGAGAACTAGTGTTCTTTACGAGCCGCCCGTTCAGACGCACCTAATGCACGCTGGACTAGATCAACCAGCACCCAATCACAGCCTAGAGGGGTTTTTATCAGTCAACACGACTGGAGAGGGAGCGAGAGACAGGGATACGCGTGCTTGGCCGCTTGCTCGCTTGTGGAAAACTTCACTCAAGTTTTCAAGGTTCACACCGTGAGTTGTGATGATGGCGACGGCGTGACATCTCCGTGGGGGCGCCATTGTTTTGATTGCCCAGGATGCTAGCTTTGTTTAAGCCCGGCACTTGGATGGATCATGGATGGAGGCGTGTGATCGATGGGTAGTTTCCATGCTTTGCCCGTGGTTGACCTGAGATCATTCACACTTGGGTGGGAAGGTAAAACTCATGGGCCGTGACGATTGCTACTCCCTCCGATCGGAATTACTTATCGCATAAATGGATATATCTAGATGTATTTTAGTTCTATATACATCCATTTCCGATACAAGTAATTCCGAACGGAGGGAGTAGTTTCTTGTCGAAAATCACCCTCATGCGTCACCCACGGAGAAAACCTCAGCCAAACGTATAATGCCTTTAGCATGCAACCGCGTGACCACCACTTGACATATGAATATGCTAGTGTTGAAGAAACAATGTATGTGTGGCAATGTTAATCAATAGTAACATCGGTTTCACTTGACTAGTTTAAGTTGTTAGTGGTGTAATTCTTTTTTCTTTTTTGCGGGGAGTTAGGGCATCTCCAGCGGCAACCCGCAAATTTC